AAGGTTCTGCAGCAAAGCTTTAATTAAGTGTAAACGTTTTTGCGGTAGAGCATTGCATTGAGGGTCATTGATAGCATTGCTTTTGATAACATTTAATGATATACATACCGCTTGTTGCCAGATAGCCTCTTGATGCCCAATAATTTTAATTCTTAAAAGTTCGAGCACTTGGCATAATTCGATCGTTTTTTCACGACTTCTCGCCGATAAAAAATTTATTCCATGCGGAAAAAATTACTTTCAATGCCTTGATAGACAGAAATGCTAGGTGATAAAAAGGCATGAATAAATAAATTAAAAACTCATGATTGAATTTGAAATTTCTAAATGCTGCTTGTGTCAGTATTTATAATTGACACAATGCCCATGTTTGTCGAAATTTACTTCGATGGGAGCTCCATTTCCAGAAAGTTTGGCTATAAACATAGGGGGCGATGCACGTCATCAAATATATCTCACTCAGACTCACTGTAAACCCGTTTAATGCCTTCCATAGCGAGATTAAAGCTGATACATCAACTGTGGTCAATCGCTAAACCCCAGTTGCCGGTATTACTAGATTCTCATATTGGCAATCACTTTGCACAGCAACTTGGGCCATACACAGCTCGATGTTGTGCAATCCCGCGGCGCGCTGTCGCGCAGAGTGCTTGCACTGTGGCGCAGGGCAAAGCGAGAGACCACGCGCGGGCTGTCAACCTCGAAGTTTGTCGTGCTAGGACTTCTTGGGAGATATGGCAGTTCCGGTGATTTGACTGAATAAAATGGCGTACAGCGAGAGACGGGCTATAGTTGTGATAGCAACTGGGGCTTAGAGCTAGACTCTAGTTGAGATCATAATTAGGGCCATATATAGCTGGACTCCAGTTGAAAATGTAACTGATGTGCAGTTGAACTCTAGTTGAAATTACGTCAAGGTTCTGTGCAGGATCACACCTCCGGGTCGCAGAGTAGACCGGCAGACCCTGGCCACCTCGAACACGGCCCCAGATGACGCAATGCTCACGTACACGAAGCAATATTCGGACGGTCCTTCAGAAAATAGCGAACACGGGATGTTCACAGGCAGCCGCCGCACTCTGTACTCCGCCAAGTACCTTAAAAAGCCAAAAATTATAAATCGGCCTCGAACTGCTGTTATATAGGGAAAAATTTTTTGATCGTGAATAGCTCTCGATGATATTATATACCAATGCCAATTTTATTGTATTCCACTTATCGGATTTGTGAAATTTAGCATTACTTGCTTAACTAGCAAGTAACTTCAGTTCTTGGCTCTACGAAAAACACTACACCTACTTCTCTTCAACTGGTGGGTTGACAGAATCCACGTTGAAAGGAACCCGCGCATACACCCTGATCTTGTTCAGAGTACTTCGACATGTCCTTTGACCAACCCTGACGGAGGCGCTGCCGTGACACTCTTGCATGTAGCGAACTGTCACGTTCAGTGACACCATCGTCGACCATTGAACCTAGTGAATAAGTAGGTTGTTGTTCGTTAAGGTATTGATACTTGACATATTGGTACCAATATCTTAACGTGCCACGTTAAGGCATTAACCATTGGACCTAATGAATGGGGAGGTAGCAGCACATTAAGATAATTACTTAAAGTATGGGTAAGTTAACTCTCTCACTCAAGGAGTCAAGAGTTACATCAATCTCTGGTTAAGAAAGATTTCATTCTAATGTGTTATTGTGCTTTGACATGGTGTGTCAATTAATTATTCAGAGTAAATCTTACCGTAAACCTTGGCGATGATCCAAGTACAGGCGACGCGGGAAGCTGAACGGTAATCCGTGCACTGTACACTTCACCGTCCATGAGGTGACGGCAGTCGAACCACAGGTCCGATTCTCCGCTGGAGTAGAGGGAGGTGAGGCGAACCCGGTCCACTACCCTGCCAGAACCATCCTCATCCGTTCCTCTCACTTGTGGCGGTTCACAGAACTTTGTCTGCTGCTGTGCTTTCTCTTTCCTTCCTGTCTCAGCTGGCATCGAATCATGAACGGTATTATTGCTGATTTCTGAGTAGCTTTGTATGAGACTATATGAGGCCGTTTTTATGAGTTTCGGTTTTTCCTCGGCCTGCGAGAGAGAAATGAGTTTTCTTTTTTCCTGTAAGGTGAGTGGGGTCTCTTCGTTGGAATTGTAAAGCATATCTTTGATTGCTTGTATATTTACAGAATCATTGTTTGTTTTACTGGAGTTTGAAGGTTTTATTTCAGATCCGTCGTGTAGCAACTGGTGCTGGAGAGGCAAAATGACTGGACTCAAACTTGACACGGAGCCGTGATGCAACAGCTCCCCACAAGTCTGTAGTGGACGCTCGCTCGGTAACGGGCGACACTTCGATTCAAGCCTGGGAGAAAATTAGGCATTAAATAATGCTCTTTAGTTTAGCTGTCCAAACCTAATAGTACTGTTACAGAGTACATCGAAATAGTTTACGAAAGATTTTGTGCCATTAAACAACATTTTTAGATGTCCAGCTAATGACGAATGTTGAACGTCAAAAGGAAGCGTTAAAAGATCCTTGAACACGAAATCACTAGTGGGGTCTGAAACTAAAAAAGAACAAACGCTACTAATTATTATGTTATTAGCCTAACGCGGATAGGGAATGAACTCCTTCCTAGGTCGGAAGCACGGCAAATGTGGACGCTTAGTTATTGGTAGTTGTAGTAACAACGCGACTACTGGTCCAATGTGCAAAGGCAATTATAGTTTCCTTCAATGAAAATACTGCTTTAAACAAAGTATTGATTTTAGTGTTAATATAATATATTTACCAGATTAACTATAGTACCTAGGGTTGCCACCGAGCACTCATACTGAGAAGCTACCCTCATGATAAAATGAGAATATTACATATATTCACCTGGCAGAGATTGGTTCTCCGTTGAGAGGCGGCAGCACCACAACCTTAGGCCACCTCACAAGCACGATCGTCTCCGCCAGTACCGTATCGTTACGCGACAACCTGAACATCCAGATGATATGTACGCGGGTATCGCTTGGTCGAAGCTCACCGAGTCAGTCGAGTAGCCATGATAGTTTTTTGCCGTTTTTTATTAGGCCTTGTTTTCGTTGATGTGGTCAAACTCAATTATTTAAAAAAAATTGACATAAACTTATCAAAATTATTCATATTATGTTTCACGACTTAATAATTCAAGTAGTAAACTTGCATTTTATAGATTCAATTTCAAGTGCGGTACGAATCTATTTATTTGAAACGAAAGACGAAAATGTGTTTAAATATTTATCATGAATTACCGAAAATGAATTAACATACGCGTTGACAAGTAACAATTATGACGAATAGATTACCTGATGACATGCGTGCCGCCCACGCTGACCAAGCCACATGGCAGTGAAGTGGAGTAGTGGACGCCTTCGACCACCGGACCAATGGTGCGACTACCGAGCTCATCGGACGAATGAAGCAGGCGAGCCGACAACTGAAGAAACTCGGAGTGCTGTGGCCCGATAAACGTCCTTTTCCGGTTACTCCTGATGACCGAAAAAAAGGATTAGTGATCACGCAAGCTAAATGTGAACTTCTAGGAAGTGTGATTCTACTATCATGCTGACATTCTATAAAAGAAACTGAAGAAATTCGAAATATTATGGCACGATAAATATCCTTTTACGGTTGTTTCTGTGAACCAAAAGAAGGATTAATGATGCAAAATTGATTTAATTTATTAGAGTTCCCGAAAGAACGTAACGTAAATGTAAATATTTAGAGGAGTATGATATATCTAGCATGATGATATTGTATCGCGATACGTCTTGTATCGCAGTTTCCTATGGATTCGTCATACTAGAGCCTATTGAGCATTCCTATCCAAAACGCCTGCACTCAAAGTTAATAATACGAGTATGAAATTTCAATAGAATCAATAATCTGTCGATAAATTCGACGAATTTATGAATTCAAATTGCAATGCCCTAAGGTTATGAAACTCGTTGAATTTTAGAAAAATCTCAAATCTACTCGTCGATTGGAAGACATCCTGCATGCAGAATTTCACATATTTTTCCTTATTGCAAATCCATCCGTGTCCAATCAATATCCATTCAATAAAACTTTTCATTCAATATTAAATAAAATATTCATGCAAGAAAACACATATATCATTGCGATCGATGAGGCTTGCGTTTTGTTCCGCACTCACCCTCTGAGCACGGTCACGTTGAGAGGTCCCTCGAGTGCAGTGTAGCGGCCTGGTCCCAGTACCTGATACACTATCCCTGCATCGGCAGTCTCTTCAACCTCCGCTGCGCTCACACTGCCGGGGTTTGGTGGCACGAAAATCTCATTTTCTGTTGAATTCTCCAGGTTTTGTTTATCGGAGTCTGTCCAGTTAATAGTATTGTCTTGAGTGTCGGGTGCGGGGATTGAGAATATATCGAGGGAATGAAGGCTTGTGTCTTCGTGGTACTGTGTGCCATCCACGCTCGCATGCTCTGCATTAGGTAAAAAAAGAAAATTAAACGAGGAACCAATGGATAAATTCAGAAATAAGTAGCAACTTCAACGCTACACTTGAACGTTTCAACATTCGCAATCTCAGTGCATGTTCAGTGTTGCATGTTCAGTTACACACACTAAGCGAGATTTTTTACCCTCCCTTTTGATTTGAATTTACCCAAAATTTAAGCCAGTCAGCTGTCACTACTGCGGGTTCCATATTCAAATCCTCAAGTTCCATAGTAAAAAGTATCAGGCGTCACCGCCGTCACGACAGGGGCGAGAAGGAAGGCTTATCTAACCTCGCCACGCTCCCGACCCTACACTGCTTCTCTACGTCGTATAAAATGACTCGAGATATTGATATTTATTCGTAGTTTATTCCTAGGAGCTTGATATGTGCTGAATTATGCTCACTATAGCAAAAAATATGTGGCCTTGTCCGATACTCTCTACTAGAACGGATGCTAATACATTTATTTTCAGTTATTCATGGATCCATACTAATAATGTGCGGGATTGGGTGTGTTAAGTCCGCTTTTTTCAACTATGGACAAAGGAGTTTCGAATCAAGACGAGTTGATTTAAAGAAACTACCTTGAATGTAACACATTATTTAATTACAAAATATGACTCAAAGATTGTCATAGAGCATCAAATTTATTCCGACAATGCACCGATTCTAGACAGAGCCCCACAAACATTAATGCAAAGGCCACGCGGAATGAACTTTACGGTATCACCGGACCGCCATTGCCGTATTGACTGTCAATAACCAAGTCTTAGCGCCAATCCCTCTCTTCGATCGAGTCTCGTCTCGTATCGACGGCGAACGAACATGCGTGTCACTGAATAATTCAAGTTATGATAATTCTTGCAAAAAATACCATTTCGAGTTGCGTTGTACGCAATTTCTTAACCCTATTAGGGGTTGGCGATTTTCCGCTTTTGTTGATTCGCTAATAACCTTGATTTTAGTAACGGGATTAGAAAAACAATACAAAAGATGTTCTGAAAAATATACAGCCGTTAAAAATCAGAAGTCGTCGATAATGCAATGTATGAAACGTTGCCTTCGACGAAGCCGGAATAATCACAATTCGACGAATTTGTTCTTATAACCCTACACTGGTCGCGGGTAAAAACACTGATTAGTAGCCTTTCGTTACGGTCCAATTTCGTAGGTATGCATTACATATGTAATGCACGTGTATTAAATATATAACACACGCGACCACTGCAAGGTTAACCTACACAGAACTGTTCGGTCCGTAAGTGTGGTGCGTAAAATGACAATTTATTTATACAGGGACTGATATGGCTGCAGAAATGAACCTCGTGAAATATCAGCCTTCACTCCCGCAGATTTTTCTTGCTGCCAGGGGTGCGGTGAACGTGTAATTCCTATGAGGTTCTTATGTCTTCCTTACACCGTCAGTGGTACATTAGTCTTCATACTCTCAACGTTTGTTCTAGAGAACGTCCGTTGTGTCTAGAAAGCTCTTAATGCCTGAGTTTTCCTTACAAAATTAGACAGAAGACACAAATAGGATCAGCCGTCAACATCGCCTATTAAAAATCTGACGTATTTCCAAATTATCGGGTGCTAAATCGAAGCGTAATTGAATTGTTTACTTGTTGCAGAGAAACACTGATTCCGTCTCGTGAACTTGTTTCATGAACTGTGACGATGATTCAAATAATTTCCTAAAGGTGTTGTGTGTATTTCCTGTGTATTTCCTAAATTGTATATTGTGTCCTAATTATTTAAATTATTCAATTATTTAAATCCTAATTGTGTCCTAAAATTTGTATGTATTTCCTAAAGGTGTAAACTAAAATAATTAAATTACTTATACTACTGAACGATGCACCGCGGTGAACTGAATGGGTATTTTTGCTAAACTTTCTTAGACCAATCATTTAATAAAATAAAAGTAAAGGTGTATTTTTACTAAACTTTCATTCCCTGAAAATATGGAGCGCAGAGAAATTTTCGTGCGTGCTGCCTGTCAGGCGAGTGCTGATTTAATTCCATAGGTAATCTAAGTGTTAGAAATGGACAACCGATCGAGTCACGTTCTGCTGCCATTGAACTCCACGCAGTAAATTACGCTCACATTTTTCAATTAACTCTCTTTTATTAATTTCAGATTTTCCTCGTTCATATACTTTCCAAGGAAAAATCACATTATTTTACAACACTTCTCTTTAACTTCACTTCTTGTTGTTTGTTTGTTTGTCTGCTACAAATTTACTTTTCGATATTTAACACACTTCTATATCGGTCCAATTGATTTGAAATTTTGCTCACTTGCGTAGAGTCGGAGACAGTGCTCGAATCAATTGACAGAATAATTAATTTAGAAAAATAAAAAAAATTAATATTGAAAGAATTAGAAAATAATTTTTCATTTTTAAAAATAAAATAAGAAATTCATTGTACATGTGTAACATTGGAGACACTGGCCTCTCTAGAAGTGTTGTCATTAAAAAGTAATTTTTTAAACGCATATTTTAATTTTTTACCTTTTCTTGCTTATTTTACATCAATTCTTGATAGTAGCCTGTATATCGAATTAGAACGACATATTGCATGGATTGTTCAATGACCCTTGCTTCATTCAATTAGATCAGGTATTTCGTACGGTCTGCGCGGTGCCAGCTCATGAAATTCCTCAGTAGCGTGTAAAACGATCGTAGACTGAAAATGTGGAGATCATGCTATGGTTTATAACCCTGGTTAAAGTGATCACATGAGGCAAATTGGGGATTATAAGTGAATTGGAGTGAACTGTGTTGAAGCATCAACACGGACTGCTTCACGACAACGGCTTTGACTATTTTAGGACATTAGAGTGGACTGTGACACTGTGTGTCAGGACACCAGTGTCGCCTGTGTCAGAACGGCAGTGTCGCCTGTGTCAGAACGGCAGTGTCGAGTGTGTCGGGACGTTAGTGTCGACTGTGTCAGGACATCAGTGTCGACTGTGTCAGGACACCAGCGTCGACTGTGTCAGGACGTCAGTGTCACCTGTGTCAGGACGGCAGTGTCGACTGTGTCAGTCAGGACACCGGCGTCGACTGTGTGTCAGGACATCAGTGTCAGGATGTCAGTGTCGACTGTGTCAGGACACCGGCGTCGACTGTTGTGTCAGGACATCAGTGTCAGGATGTCAGTGTCGACTGTATCAGGACACCGGCGTCGACTGTGTGTCAGGACATCAGTGTCAGTACGTCAGTGTCGACTATGTCAGGGCGTCAGCGTCGACTGTGTCAGTACGTCAGTGTCGACTATGTCAGGACGTCAGTGTCGACTGTGTCAGGACACCAACGTCGCCTGTGTCAGGACGTCAGCGTCGACTGTGTCAGTACGTCAGTGTCGACTATGTTAGGACACCAGCGTCGTCTGTGTCAGGACATCAACGTCGACTGTGCCAGGACGTCAGTGTCGACTGTGAGTCAGGACATCAGTGGCGACTGTGTCACAACATTAGGGCATCACACTTTCGTTGACACGTCGCGTGACTCAGCGGCCGCTATGCGTTCTTGCCATGCAGCACCAAATGAAAGGTTAGACTCAGGAGCTGAGCTTCTGTAACATTTGCACCATCGATTATGTGGGGTAAAATATCGACAGCAACCGAACTTGACTCACGCGAAAATAGGATCTGTGGTTCGCAGGTGTGATTAACCACATGGTGTCTTAAAGGCCAATAATCGATGGCTTCACGTAGTCAAGGAACTCTGTGGCGAATAGTGTTCTAATCGTTGATCATTGTGATGCTTGATTATGCTTTAATAAACTCCATTTAAATAAAGTTGTTGAAAAAGTATGTTAAACTGGCGTGAATTTAAAATCTACGTAGAACCCAAGTTGCCTGTGAAGGTTTGTTGAAAACTCCAGAGTTAATGAAATTTTTATCCAGTGTGTATCTATCTCATCTCCTAGGATGAGTTTAGCCCATAAAAATGTAGTAGTAATTTACACAGAAGCTTCATTCTCTATGCAATACGTCTTTAGCAGCAGGTGCAGTATTAGGACATTTAAATAAAAAAGTGATTGTTTTCTACGCTGTCTACACGCAATTTCCGCCTGGCTCGTTAACTTCAACAACCTTCGTTAATGGAGTTCCAGAGAGCAGACATTTGCAACACATGTACGAGAACAAGATCACAAAACAAGGGGAAACGGCACACATTTTCGGCGGTTTTCTCGGTTCCTAGTAACCGCACGGCGCACGAGACCGCGGGTTTCGTTCATTGAGGTTAGTCTCCACGGAACGTTATGGCCTTCTCCCCTGCTTATTTATGACCCGCCACTCATTCGGAACCCTCACAGGGATGTATCCATCCCCAACCCTCAAAGGGATGCATCCATTCCCCTCCGTATCTACCATTTTCTTTTGTTTGCAGGTTCTTTTCCTTTTACCTGTAGCGCCAGCCGCACGGCCCTGGCAATCTCGTGTCGTCGTAAAATTCGCTTCCAGTGAATACGAATTTAGGCCGTTCGTACTTTTTTTCTATTCGTACATTTTTATGCAGGATGACTCGTGGAAAATTAATGAGATTAGACGTGGCTCAACAGGTGTTGGCTGAATTTAAAGTTTGATTTTAACATGTGGGAAAATTTTTAATTCAGTTGTGAGCAAATGGACAATTTGTGCTTAAGTGATCTCTTTTCGCTCGCGACGCCAATGCAATTCTTATGTGATTTGCCGTTGTCTTCACGACGTTTGCTTTAAATCAATGGAGATTCCGGTTTTACCAACGAAGTCAATTCAAAAACATTGTGGTTCACAATCCCTTGCATGTGCAACGTCAATGTAAATATATTGGTCATGAGCGATCTTTTACACGACTCTGATGTAAATCCATTGTGTTTCACGATTATTTGCAAGCGCGAAGTCAACCTAAATCCATTATGGATGACATTCCCTGACAAAAATTTAAGAAATGGCAGCATGCAAAACAAAACTTCACACAGGCTATATATATGTACTCTTACTATAGTTGATTACACGTCAGGAATGCATCCGAAAATCTTATGCTTTCTGTCTTTAATTCACAATTAGTCACTTATCAGTTTTAATTTAACAATAAGCCCCCAAATCCCGATTTACTTCCTCCCTCAAATTATTTCTCCATCGGTGCACAATTAACAAACTCCCCGGAACAAATCCGCCCCAACACCGCCTCCATTTACAGTAATCTCGGGAATCTCGCCCGCTTAAATTTTCATCTGGAGCGCTCGGGGCGCAGCGTCACACGGCGCCGCCGCGTCATGGCGCTGGCGGTGGTCGGGGAGTATAGGAGCAACGGGAGTTTATTGTTGTATACTTTTGAATAAATGCAGGAGCTTGTGAAGGGAACCTATGGAGACTGATGATAGGATATTGTGTATTTTGTTTATCAATGAAGTTTTCTCTTCAAAAATTGTATTTAAAATATTTGGTATAAAAGCCTAATAGTCTAGTCTATTCAAGTGTAGCAAAAATGGGAGTTTATTGTTGGGAGCTTGTGAAGGGAACCTATGGGAGACTGATGATAAGATTTAGTGTAATTTCTTTCTCAATGAAATTCTCGTTTCCAAATTCGATTTAAAATATTGGGTATAATAGAAATATATTTTGGTTTATCTATCCAAGTGTACCAAAAATTAATAATATGAGCAATGATTAGGCATATAAATATGAAAACTTACTGATAAACTAGTAAATACGTTGAAATGGAGGAAATATATTTTTTTAAATACAAAACCTAAACATTTATCGTTACATGTTTTCTGCATTGTTGTATCGACGACTTTGCATTAGAAAATGCTGTGGCGCACATTAAAATATATCAGAATAATAAATTGCTGAGAAAGACTTTATAACAAATGCTACTAGAATTTATTTATTCTTTATTTATTTATTTATATATCATAATTTCACTGTACATATTCATGTTCATGTATTTAATTGATGGAAAAACACAAGTAAAATGGAATCAAAATTACTAACGAAACGAAGGATAGGCGTGAATTATTTTGAAAAATAATTTGAAAAGGAACCACGGTTTTTCCAAAGAAGCCCCTCTGTAGAAATTTTGTCCTTACCTGTTTTAGTGTTGACCCGAGGGAGCAGCAAAAGTGCGGCCATGAAGACATTAGCAAGGGTCATCTTGCGCAGGCCATTACAGACGCTCATTCTCCTCAGCTGGCCCACAGCTCGCGGCATGAGGAACGATGCTCCGTGTCCGGGTAACGAAAATCATTCCACTATCATTACACTATCATTCCACTATCCAACTTGAAGGTACGTGTGTACTCATTTTGGAAACTTTATAAGTATAAAAGGGAATTAGCTAGTGATAGACCAGCTTTATTTTGCACCTTGTATATTTGCTCAATAATCGACGATCTCGAGTTTCTTATCGTCCATACGGCACGCAGGCGTCACAGAAATATGGCAATTCACTGATTTTACTATCATGCGTTGACATTCATGAGGCTATAAAGATCTTACTTGTTTTCACTTCTGGATAGGATAGGATGTTACAATAGAGAATCTACAAGTAACCATCAAAAGAAATTTTTTTTGTAACGTAAACGATTAGACTTATTTTTAATGACATTTACATCATTAATGACATTTACATCTAGGTTGCTCCTAAATCTTGAAACTTTCATTTTTTCAATATATGACACCGTAATAATTTACATTTTCTGAAGATCAAGATAGAGTTTCATGCTCTTTATTCCCGGGGTGAGAGGAGCTCTCTTTTCCTTAGTTAATGAAAAATTTCACAAACTGAAAAAAACGAAAAAAAAAACAACTTCACAGAACTAAAAACGAGCGCATGGACCGGTAAATCAACTTAAAGCTGTGACTGTATCTTAAATTGCGTGTAACTTAATTAACGGGTAACTTAATTACGATAACAAGATAAGTTTACAACGTATAAGACATAATTTCCGAGAATACTCTCAAGCTTTACATATGACAAATTTGTTATTTAACCTTTATAAATATGAAATCATTGCATGTTCCTAGAAGATGACTCATAAATACCAGGCATACAGTTCTCTGTAAATGTTTTCTTCATCCATCAACGTAACCTACATACAACAACCTCAGTCTATTAGTATTCTGACGCACGCTCTACTGAGAATATGACAGCGTAGTATAATTGAAGAATATCTTCCATCGTGTAGGCCTAGTGATGGCTTGACACGCACTATACCGCATGTCTGACTCAAGGTATAGCGGTGTAGAACGTATCTGTTATTGCTTTATCTTCAGTTAATGAGTTAATGGTGCGAGTTTAACAGGGAGGTGAAGTGCTGAGGGAAAACGATTATGAATGTTGTTTTGGTTATATGACAATTTTAATGCTATTTTTATTATTTTAAACTGTACATATATGCCACCTTTGAAAATTCCGCGTTTATGTATGAAGCTCATTCATCCAGTTGGCAAATTTATTGCATTTGATTTTAGGCAGAAATCAAATATATTAGCATATAAAAATTCGAATTGCAATAATTCATTGAATTAAGCTTAAAATGCTCTTCAACCCACCACCGTCTAACTGTACATATATGCCACCTTTGAAAATTCCGCGTTTATGTATGAATTAAGCTCATTCATCCAATTGGCAAATCTATTGTCTTTGATTTCAGGCAGCGTTATGACCATGACAATTGGACAAATATGTCGCCTGCCAAATTTTTTAATTACTATATTTCAATTAATGTGGTGTGGATGGAATGTGAAATTTTAAACTCACAAGAAATTTGGTCTCCAAAAAGTTAATTTCTCATATCGGGACACAAAGGATGTTATTCGAGCTGAAGCTTATTGACCACAAAGTGCTTCTGGTCGGTAAAGTTGAGGGGATCCGTGGAACACATCCGGCTTGAGGGCTACAGTGTGGAGAGCATCTACAAGAAGCCATTTTTTAAGCAACCAATTATGGTTTTTTACATTAAGCTATTGCTGCTTCAATATATATCACTCAATCCAATATTAAATGTAAGTGTCATGTATCTAATTTTAACATGTATGTACTTTCGCATGGTTTCTATCTTGGCCCCCCCAAAGGAATCCCTATTTACGGATAATATGTTAAATTCTTTGGCATCATAGAGAGCTAAATCATCGTAAGACTTTTTATCTATCCATGTACACTATATTTATTAATGTTGACAAATGTAGGAGCATAATAGTGGCACGTGTAATTGGGCAACAATATTAATGGCATAGCGAAGGTAACTACATAATTATTAAGCAGAAATCAGAAATTAACATAGAATGCACAAACATTGACTTATTTCTTTAATATATTATTTGAAAGAGTCTGTGAAGCAGTGAAATAAAATATTCGCAAAGAAAATTAGCCTCTGAGTTGTGCTTCTGAGAGACACGGAATTTTGTCTTCCAACTTCGCATTCTGCACGCCATTCTGCCGTGAGCTGCAATAAAAGGCTTCGTTTACGAGCTCCATAGATGTTGCTGCGTGCATGTAAATTTTAACCCTAAGTTTAATTAGTTTCTCGCTAAAGCATTTCGCTCCTATTGCAAAGCCTTGATTAGTTTCAAAGTTTCGTTGATGTTCACTGGAAGACGTAACTTTATTTCAAGCTGCCAGCAATCTGAAGTTGATGATTTCGATGTTAGATATAATGTAGTCTGACTGAGTCATTTAGAAACGTTCATAAATTATTTACATGCCTTAGGATTAATCTTTTCGGTTGATATACTGAAGAACTTTTCCAACTATTGGAAACAAGAAATAATCTGAATAAAAGAATTTTTCCAGCTATACTGAAAGGAAAGAATAATCTTATTTGAGATCAGCAGCATGCACAGTAAAGCTGATACTTCGTTGGCTCACTAAAGTCAACACGATTGAGGAAAATGTTTCATTAGTTCACAAATTTCAGCCTATTTTCGAAAAAAGTTCTTAATTCTGCTTCAATTTGGTTCTTGGTTCAGAGCAAGTGAGATTTCTTGGTTCAGAACCTATATTAGGTTCTTGTTTAAGATCAAATGCAAGGGTTCTTGCTTAAGAAGCTACATACATGGGTTCTTGGTGTAGACTATAGATCATGGAAGAGTTCTCGGTTCGCAACATTAGGTTCTTGATTTAGGACCTATATATTAGTTCTTGGTTCAGAACCTCTATAGTAGGTTCTTGATTTAGAACCAAAATTTGGTTCGTGGTTCAGAACCTATATTGGGTTCTTGTTTCAGATCAAAGAAGGGTTCCCGGTTGAGGGACCATCACAGAGCAATGATGGATCTGAGTATCGATTAAACAGCGCCGGCCCTCTGAGGGTAGAGTTGCAAATCGATATTTTGTGCACTCTCCTCTACGACGATAATGACCGGCCTTGCTGAAGGTCTGCGTCTGTGGTGGCGACACTTGGTGGCTTTTGGAAAGTTTTGGTGTGTGTTAATACAATTACCATGCAAAAACTTGAACGTACTTGTTTTAAATAAAAAACCATAAATTCGTTCATAGTGAGTAATGAATAACTTTGATGTTAACATCGGATGATAATTTACACTATTCATTAATCACGTAGTTAATTTGTGAATAAAAACTCTTCTCTGTATCATGGTTTAACAAGCATATACATCACAGTCAAAGCACAGAGAAGACAATAAATTCACTGTCAGGATGGATCAAACATGTACGTTAACATTTATCAATAAACACGAGTTGCGTTGAGAAATGCAAGGCATGAACTCTTCAAATTAAGATGAGTGAACATTAATCAAACTGCCGACACATTCAAAACCTTCATAATTTCAAAGCAGTAATGTTCTACATACTTTATCATTTCTTAAACTTAATAATTGCATACCAACACCAATGGGCGTGTTTGTCACTCCTACATCAGCGACATTTATCCTCACAACCAAACGTGCTAATTTATCACTCGTATACCAGCGACATTTATCCTCACAACCAAGCGTGTTTGCCGCTCGTATACCTGCGACATTTATCCTCACAACCAAGCGTGTTTGCCGCTAGTATACCAGTGACATTTATCCTCGCAACCAAGCGTGCTTGTCACTCGTATACCAGCGACATTTATCCTCACAACCAAGCGTGTTTATCACTCGTATACCAGCGACATTTATCCTCACAACCAAGCGTGTTTGCCGCTAGTATACCAGCGACATTTATCCTCACAACCAAGCGTGTTTATCACTCGTATACCAGCGACATTTATCCTCACAACCAAGCGTGTTTGTCACTCGTACATCAGTGACATTTATCCTCACAACCAAGCGTGTTTATCACTCGTATACCAGCGAAATTTATCCTCACAACCAAACGTGCTTGCCGCTCGTATACCTGCGACATTTATCTCCACAACCAAGGTGGTTGCCTCCTGCATTTAAAATTTATCAGCTCGCGACCTTTAAAATCGATGCGTGTTTTTATGTCTCTATAAACCCGACAGGCAATCACGAAACTGAAACTGTCGAGCACGGAGCAGATAAGTGACATGCGAGAAATGGTTGAGTTAATAACATGATTGACGAGAACTTTCCCTCATTTATGTTTTAATACGCTCAGGTTAATGAAATATACGTGAGAAGATTGGCGTTCAGTTAATGAGTAATTCACATACTTTCCGGTGGGAACAGGTGTTAAGTGAAGGTTGATTTTTTTAAATAAATGCGGATGTTGTGTCACGCTTCCTTGTTCACATTATAAAATATGTTGCGGCACGCTTTATTGTGTATATAAAGATAGATGCTGACCTATTATATTATATAATATATTATTTTAGCGTTCTAAAGAAACAGACGGTTGAGACACGCTCAATTTTCAGCATATAGGCATTTGTTGATCGAAATTTTGATTCAAAATCAATTCAACCGTCGATGCAATCAAAAAATTACGACAAATTTTATGTATCAAAATAATTATCGTTTATTCAGGTGAAATTGCTGTTCACTTAGGTTTATTCTCGGTCAGCCAGAATTTTATTATATCCCTTACATGCAATTGTTGCTTTACTAGTGATATATACGTGTTGAATGCATTGCAACATCATCGCTTCACTAGTTTAAAAACAAGATTAACAATGATATTTCAATAGCATTACTAGTGATATATGCGTGTTGAATACATCGCAACATCATTGATTACCTAGTTTAAAAACAAGATTAACAACGATATTTCAACAGCATCACTAGTGATATATACGTGTTGAATGCATAGCAACATCATCGATTTCCTAGTTTAAAAACAAGATTAACAATGATATTTCAACAGCATTACTAGTGATATATACATGTTGAATGCATAGCAACATCATCGCTTCACTAGTTTAAAAAC